CGGCAGATCATCCTCAAGAAAGGGGACATAGCGAAGCACTAGCCCTGCTCCCTGCAGCAGCGTCACGCCCCGCGCTGCCCCCGGCTCTTAGCGGTGGGACGAGGCTCCGCTCCGCGCCCGGTGCCCGCCGGGACGCACGCGCCCTCCTCCCGCCGCCAACGGCCCCCGGCGCTCCCACCTCACCCGCCCCGCAGGAGCGCCCGCTGCCACCGCCCAGGTTCTCGTAGCCCCATCCCGCTGCCCCCGCCTGCTGCCCCCGACGCTGCCGTTCACAGAACGGGGCCCTGGAGCCGCGCTGCACGGAGGCTGCCGTGCAATCGGCGCGCGCTGCGTGCTCCCCGCGCTCCTTCCTTCCGCCTCCGGAGCCGCTAGAGGGAGGCTTCCGGCCCGCGTCTGACCCAGACCCTCCGCGTTTCGGCAATTAAAACAATAAATCCCCTCCTGCGGTGCCCCGCGCCTTCCTGGGGCTGCCCGCAATGCCCCTCCTGCCCTCCTGTGGTGCCTGTGCTGTGCTGTGCCACCCGAGTGCCATCCCCGATGGTGCTTCCATCCGTGGTGCTCCCATCCAGGAGCCCAGTTGGTCCCACTTCTGTGCTGTGGGGCCAGCAGCAGCCCCAGAAGAAGGGCCAGGTGCGAAGGGGTGGAGAACACAGTGCTTTATTGGGGCAGGGGCAGGCCCACCCATGTGCACCAGCTGGGCGGCCTCGAGAACTATCCCATGGGTTTGCAGCGGGCTCGGTGCCTGCTCGTCCTGCGAGCAGCACGGGATCCCGGGAGCAGGAGGACATAAATAGGGGGGGGGGGGTGAGTGGCCCAGAAGGGGAGTTCTGCTCTGCTCCTGCAGCCTGAGCCAGCAGTCCAGATAACTGACATAAAATGTCTACACAGCATAAGTAACAATACTTAGGGGTAGGGCACTCTGTGTGCCGGATCCGCTCGCTTTGCTGAGGGGGCACAGTGCAGCCAGGATGGCTGTGGGGCAGCCGCTGGGGCTGTGTCACCACACTGCAGACATGAAATCAGGGTCCCAATGCCAGGCTCTGGCGCAGTGTCTCAGCGCAGCCCGACAGGTCCATGTGCTCCAGGGCGGCGAAGATGCGGTCAAGTGTGGCACTGGTCTGCTGGCACCAGCGCTTCAGCATCTCGTACTGCCGGTCGCGGAACGGGGCCACCTCCATCTCCACCAGCTCAATCTCCGTGTCCCGCAGCTCCAGCACACGCATGAACTCCTTCCAGCGCCGCACCGGCACCGCGTTGATGACAGCGTAGAGCTGGCTGCCCTGCAGCAGGGCACAGCGCTGGGGGCTGCTGAGTGGTGGGGCTGGGCTGTGCGCTGTGCTGGGCACCGAGGGCTCTGTGGTGCCGTTGGGCAGTGCTGCTCTGCTGGGTTGTTGGTGCAGCAAGGCCGAGGACTCGGAGCTCCTCCTCGCCATGCTGGAGCCAGGCTCCCACACCTGTCCGGAGAGTTTGGCCAGGTCCAGTGCAGACCGCCTGACTGTGGCTGGTAGCCACCCACCCCACCGCAGGCACTCACCTGGCACTGCATCACTTCTGTTGCTGCAGCCCTCTGGGTGACAGGGTGCATACAGGCTGTGGGGCCAGAGCAGTCCCAGGGTGTGACAGTAGGTAGAGAGCTGACTGCTGGGGTCTCCATCTGGAGCCGCTTCCGCTTGTGATAGATGGCAAGGGCACCCAGGAAGAGGGGCCCGGTCAGACCCAGCAGGATGTACTCCAGCCCCGAGCCTGCAAGGAAGTAGTGCTGTCCCCTGGTTGCTCCCCACCCCACTGCCCTCACCCCGAGCCTCACCACCTCACACACCTGGGGCACGGTGGCCGCACACCCGCTGGCACTCCTCACCGCATGTCTCTGGGGTGCTCCTGCAAGGAGAGGGATGGTGGGCACTGTGCCTGTTGCCAGCACACCCCCCCCCCCGGGAGCTGCTTACATGTGGCACGGGCGGCACTCGCTGCCCTCGGCATAGAAGTCGGGCTTGCAGCTCCCACACTGTGCGTCTTGCCTGTCTGAGCCTGGGGAGAGGGTGCATGTCAGGCCAGTGGAGGCCCTGCAGGTGGTATCCCATGGGCTGGGTGGAAACACTCACAGGGCTGCAGAAGCAGCTTCCCAGGGCAGGTCTTGCACTTCTTGCAGGAGAAGTCACTGCAGGAATCATCCTTGTTTTGGCACTCACGGAAGTGGCCAGACTCACAGCCACAGGCGATATTGCTGGTGGCTGAGCAGTTGCTCACCACAGTCTGGAAAGCTGCAGAGGCAGGCGGTGAGCAGGGCAGCACAAGCACAGCGTGGCACAGTGTGGCACAATATAGTACAGTGTGGCACAGCACACTGCCGACTCACTTTGATGGTCACACGTGTAGCAAGCATCGCACTTGGGGCGGGTGTTGGGGTGGGAGAGAAAGGTGCCGGCGGGACAGGCTACACAGACGTTGTCGTTTCCATGGCTCGTGCAGGGGGTTTGCAGGAATGTCCCTGTGGGCAGCAGAGGCACAATGAGCACGGCCACTGCTGCATGCCCAGGCAGTGCCATGCCACCATGCCCATGGCAAGCGACACACCTGGTGCATGGTGCCTTGCCAGCCGGGCACTTCTCACCTGGGGGACACTGGGTACAGCACCGACCAACTGAACGGATCCAGCTCATCCCGGAGGGGCAGGAGGACTTTATGGTGGACCTCCGAGTGCGGTTGGATGGGAGCACCAGGCCCTGCTGGCTGCGTAGCATGGAACAGTCCTGGCAGCCCGGGGGCTGTGACCCGCTGGCCAGCAGCCACAGCACTGCCAGGAGCACCTGTGGGCAGGGAGAGGGCAGGCTGCAGAGAGCCTGGGTGCAGAGCGGGCATCCCAGGGCAGCAGGGCTGGGCCATTGCACTCACTGGGCTTCCAGCCATGGACAACAGGCACCTGAGCCCCAGCCAAGCCCAATCTGCAGGGTGTTAGGCCAAGCAGATGCCGGTGCCCTGCAGGGCTGGCAGCAGGGCAGGACAGCCAGGGGCAGCCCCGAGCCCACAGCCCCACGGCTGGGAATGCCCCAGGGCAGCCCCTGTGCTGGGCTTTCCCCTTGGTCCCTGAGTAATTGCTTTCCTGACCTCAGCATAGGGCACACACTGTGTGGGCACACGGGTCGACCTGCTGGGCTCAGGCAGACCAGCATTGCCCACAGGAGCTCAGACCTCCAGATGCCACCAGCCAGCCCAGTGCTCAGCCCCACACAGTGCAGTTCAGGGCACGGGAGGGTTAAAGCCTCCCTCCACTTTCCTCCGTTTTTATCTGCCTCGCAGATGAGGCGATTTCCTCCTTGAGAGGAAACCATGCCCAGCTCACGCTGTCCCCGATGCTATCACACTTCATGCGTGCGTCCCAAAGTAGGTCACTGCTCCCCCGCCACCCCGCAGGGCGCTGGCTGCTGAGTGCAGGGGAGCTCTGGGGGGAGCACAGGGGGTGCCTGCCTCACTCCACCACCCGCAGCCCGGCTGGGGTCCCGGAGCCGCACACGGTGCTGTGATGCGAGCAGCGTTTGCTCGGCCACAGCAGGCAGGGAGCCAGGGGATTCCTTGCCGGGGGCTGGATTTCCCAGCCGAGATCACCCCGATTACAAGGACTGAATCATTTTCTATTAAACCCGCCGCCGCCGGACTGGAAACCATGCCCAGGCTGCACCATTTGCATAACGCTGCGATCGCATCAGGGCGGCCGCACCACAACAAGGAGCCCAGCAGCCAGCGGCACGTCTGAGTCAGCGCACAGCCCTGCCGGGCACGAGCACCCCGCGGCGCGGCCCGACCTGCACGCGTGTGCCGCCCCGTCCCCGCGCCCGGTGGGCAGCTACTGCGCGGCACCGGTTACGCAGCGGGGCCTCCGCTTCCTGTGCCGCTCAAGCGCCGCCCCTACCCGTAACGCGGTTCCGTCTGCAGCCTCTGCTCCTGGCCCCGCAAGGCTGGGGCACCACCTACTCAGCCAGCCCGCTGTCACCGTCTGCCACCGTGCTTGGGTCTGCAACGGCATCCCTGACCCGCGCTCGCAGGCTCTCAGCGCAGCCTGGCCACGGTCCTGTGGCCGTGCTCTGCCCACCATCCCTGTGGCTGCGCTCACGCTGCCGGTGACTGCGTTGTGCCCTCAGCACCCGTGGCCATGCCTAGCCCTGGGGCTGTGCCATACCCGTGCTTCCCATAAGCGCGCTGTGCCTGTGGTCCCCACGGCCGTACCATACCTATCACCCCTGTGACCATATCCCACCCACAGCCCCACTGCTGTGCCCTGGCTCAGGCTGAGGGAGGGCAGATTGCAGCCTCCAGGTGTTCAGCACAGCTCAGACAGTGAGCGCTTTCTTGGGACGTGGACCCCTCAGCAAGTTGCCGAGTGCATCTCTCACCCCTTCCACTGAAACCACCCACAGCCACCACCTGCTCTGGGCACCCAGGGCCACACCAGCCTAGCCAGCAGGCCCCCAGCCCCCCCACACTCACCGAGGCCACCCCTGGGCAGCGGTGCTTCATCCTTGCAGCCGGCACAGCTGGGTCATGCCGTGTGGCAATGGTGGGCACAACTGAGCATGGGGTTCCCGGTGCTGGGGAGATTCAGTATAGGGTTCCCCCACACCCCATTGCTGCTGCACGACGTGTGATGAATGAGCACCAGCCCTCCCCAAGCAGGCTTTTATATGTGACCACAGCAGGAGGAAATGCTTTTTTGGAAATGAGACCAGAGGGTTTGAAAGCACATGACAGGAACACTGCGCAGGAGAGACCTGTGCCAGCCCAACATGTCCCTCCCATTCCCCCCAGCAGCACAGACACAGCCTGGAGGGGGGACACAGCATCCTCTGCTTTGCTAGGCAGAGCTGCACCCTGACCCAAACCCCCGAGCTGGGGTACAGAGCTGGGGCTGGCTCCATGAGCGTTGCATGGCATCTGCTCCACATCCACTCCTCCTCACCCCACGGTGCCTGGCTGTTGCCCGAAGGAGAGGCGAGGCAGGCGCAGCATGCACACAGCAAGGTTTATTGCTTGGCTGGACCGCACCGCAGCCAGCACAGGTGCCACGGCCAGTACATGCCCACAGTGCAGCCACCGCCACCTCCCAGTGCCAGCAGGCAGCACTGCTACAGGGACAGCCTGAAGCTCAATAAATACGCACTCTGCAGTGGCATCCCACTCCGGTGTGGGCTGTGTCAACAGGCAGTAGCTCCCCACCAGCCCAGCACAGGACGGCACCCAGCTCTCGGCCACCGCAGCTCCCACGCTCCTACTCCCTGGCCACCAAACCATGCCCTGGCCAGACCCTGTGGCCACTGCTAGCCCCAGCTCAGCCCTGTCCCCTCGTCTCACCACCCCCCGCCTCCCGCCCCACATGCCAGCAGCCCTGTGCTGCCCACCCCGCGGCCATCTCACACCTTCCCCACTCCCCGCTGCCGACGTCGCCATCCCTCCTCCTTGCATGGAGCTGCGGAGCCCATGGCCTCCCCAGGCGCAGCCCCATGACCACACAGTGCGCCATGTCCAGCCCCACATGGACACCCCTGGGTAGCAATGGGCAGCCCGGTGCTGCCCTGCAGGAATGCATCCTCCCAGATGGGACTGCTCTGTGTCCCCCACGTGTGACATCCTGGCACAAGCTGGTGGGTGCCCTCTCTGCCCAGCCCCGACGTTACGCTACGGTTAGAAGCAGGAAGAGCTCTTGGAGCAGCCGCACGTCCATCCTCATCCTCGCTGCCCCGGCAGCTCTCAGACCTCCCTGCAGGGCACAACAAAGAAAGAGGCTTTGTCAGCGTGGGGCCTGGCACATGGCATGTAGAGGGGATGGGCTGCACATACGAGGCTGTCAGCGTGGAGTTGAGGAGCAGTGTGGTCCGTATTCGGTAGAGCTGTGCCAGCGTCAGCTTGCGGTGCTGCGCTGAGGAGGAGTCTGAGAGCGTGCGGTGGGCAGGGGGCTGAGGGCTGTGGCTGGGCTGGCCCACGGTGGGTACATGGGGCTCCATGGGCTCCTCCGGCTCTGAGAGCTCTGAAGTGGAGTCACCACTACTGCTGCTGCTGGCACCGGGGGCCAGGAGCTCCGGGGAATGGCTAGTCCGCTGGAGCAGTGGGGGAGCAGGAGGGGCCATGCATAGGTCAGAGAGGCTCCGGCTCTGGTTGAGTGGGGTAGGGGGTCCGGCCAGCAGTTGAAGCAGGCTGGCCTCTGACTTGGACTTGAGCACTCGGGCCTTGCAGGGCAGGAGCTGCACAGGCGTCCGACGGCGCAGCCGGGGCGAGGGGGGCTGTGGGGCCAGGGCTTCTGGCCCCTCCTCAGCCCCTACATCCTGCTGCCGGGGAAAGTCCCGTGGTGAGGCGGGTGAGAGTGTGCCGTAGGCACTGTCGATGGACGCCGAGCAGAAGCTGCCAGGCTGTGCAGTGGCGCTGGGGGGCAGGGGCAGGCTGCCAGAGGGCAGCTCGTGGGTTGGGGTGCTGCCAGAGGTGCCGGTGGCGGTGCTGACGGAGGTACCAGTGCTGACAGAGGTGCTGTCTGACGGTGAACCAAACGGCCCCACGTCTGAGTCTGGGGAGGAGAGCTCATCGCCGCCGTCCACCACCACCACTGAGATGGTCTCGGTGGAGCCGTCCGAGGGGCTGCGAAAGAGGGGAAGGTGAGGAGGAGGCTGCGCCGCAGACGTGGTCACAGTGCCCCTGTCCCACTCATACCACTGCTGGGAGTCCAGGCTGGTGCTGCTGCGGCGCAGCACCGTGGGCGAGCTGGCGGTTGAGGTGCTGCTCTCACCATCCTCCTCATCTTCCTCCTCCTCCTGCAGGCGCCGGCACTGCCCACGCTGCTGCTCCTGCAGCCGCAGCCGCTGCAGCAGGTTCTGGGAATGGCAGGTGTCAGGGATCTGTGGGCACGAGACCCCCACGCCCCCCCCACGCGGTGTCTTCACCTGTGCATTGTGCAGCGCCTCGACCCAGCTGCGGCACAGCGACTGCCCACTGGCCTGGAAGGTGTAGGCAGCCACGGCGCTGCCAAACTCATTCAGGTAGATGAGGAGGAAGGAGCCTGTGGATGAGGAGCTGTGAGGCTTGGACTTCCAATGTTTTCCTAGTGTGCAACCCCTCCCCCCTGGTGCCACTCACCCGGGTCCTTCAGCTCCCGGCAGATGACTTTGTCCACCAGCAAGGGCTGTCGGATCACCTTGGTGCGCTCAGCCTTCTTGACGGGCTTGGTGATGAGGAAGAGGTCGGTGAAGAGGAAGCAGTAGACGTCCATCTGTGGAGGTGAGAGCAGGGCCATGGGTGCCAGCCCACACACGAGGGATGAGCTCCCCATGCCCCCCATCCTCACCTTGCTGTCTTTACCTTCCCGCATCTTCAGGCTGCCTTCGAGCAGAAGCTGCCGGGTGTCATCTGGGGAGGTGCCAGGCATGGGGGCCGTCAGGTCCAGCCGCAGGAACTCCTTCAGCAGCTGCAGGGAGCCAGGGAGGTCAGCACAGGTCAGGACACAGCACAGCACTGCAGCCGCGCTGTGCCCAGCCTACCTTGTCCACCTCGTCCGTGCTGCCCTCCACCACCTCATAGGCATCGATGCGGCTGAGGATGGCGGCCAGGCGCTGCTGCTCCTGCCGCTGCCGCATCCGCGAGTTGACGTGGTTGATGAAGTGCTCCACAGAGCCGATCTGCAGCACAGGCACAGGGGTGAGAGGCTGGGCTGCCCACCTCCCCGCGTCCCCACGCTGTGCCCCTTACCATGGTGAGGATGGCATCACGGGTGCGTGCATCGTCCGTCTTCTTCAGCACGGACTTGAGGAGCAGTGGGTACTTGGTGAGGCGCTGGTGCGGCTTCACCAGCATGTCGCTGAGCTTCAGGCGGCTGCACTGCTTGTGCTTCTCGGCCCACTGCAACACGTGGATGTCAGCTCCAGCCCCAGCCCCGGCCCCAGCCCCGCTGCACCCCCCTCACCGTCACATAGGCACGGAAGAGCTCGCTGTCGCGCAGCAGATTGCGCATGTACTCCATGCAGCCCTCCTCCTCCATGCAGTACTGGATATAGGGCTTGAAGAGCGTTCCAAACTGCGGGCAATGCAGAGGTGTCACTGCAGGGCACAGCCTGGCACAGTCCATGGTGCAGCACAGGGTTGGCACTCACCGTCTTGAAGCCCTTGAGGAAGTCCATGGGGTCAAGCAGCACCTTGGTCCGGCGGGCCTTGTCCAGCACCGGGGCCATGACGCTGCTCCACAGGCTGCGGTGCAGCTGGATGATCTCCCCAATATTGCCAAACAGACGCTCAGCATCCACCTACGGGGGGAGGCGGGGAGTCGCTGTGGGTCACATCCCCATGCACCCACCATGCTGGGGGACCCCTGCTATGCACTACACTGCTGTTCCCCCAGACCCCACAGCACAGCCCCAAATACACAGCGCACTCACCTCACACAGCAGCCCTGACTCCTGAAGGTTCAGCAGGCAACAGAGGAAGAGCTGTGGAGACAGAGCAGGAGCTCGTGGGGCAGGAGCCATGGTATGGGGGACACCTGTGGCTGAGGAACATGGGCCATGGGCACTCACATCAGTGATGACCTTTAGCTTTCGGATGTAGGTGGCCTCAGTGTGCAGCAGCTCCCAGATGGCTTCCTGCTGGTGGCACTGCCGGCGCGTCAGGGCCTGCAGGGCCAAGCGTCAGTGTTTCACCATCCAAGGAGTGCGACCAGCACCGCAATCAACCCCAGCCCTACCTCCGTGCCCTCAATGATTTGCTGCCAGCTGTCCTCTAGCACCAGGCTGCTGTCGTCCCCATCCTCCTCCCAGGAGTCCTGGTCGAAGCGGAGCTGCGGTGGTAGTTTGGGCAGCCCAAAGCTGCTGTAGGTGTGCAGCTTGCTTTCCAGCTGCTCCATCTTGTCCACCTCCTGCTGGAAGGCATGAGCAGATGGGCTGGGGACAGTGGCAGAATGCCACAGTTCTGTTGGCCCTGCGCACGGATCCGGGGCACAGCCATGCAGGACCTCATCCCACCACCACCCCAGCACAGCACCATGACTCCCACACCCCTCCCCTGCCCACCTACCCGCCCAAAGGGGCCAGTGCTGGTGCTGGAGCTGAAGAAGCCACTGAAGCGGCTGGCAGCACGGTTCTTCCAGGTGTCGGTGCCATTGGTGGGCAGAGAGCCACTGCCATGCAGGGATGGCTCAGGGCTGGGGATGCTGGCGTCCCCCAGGAACTCCGTCATGTTCTTCCGCCGCCTGCCCGGAGCCTGCATGGGTACAATGAGTGCCACAGGTCAGCACCAGCCCTGCTCACTTCACAGCGCAGGGACAGCCCCCGAAGCCATGCTCTGCCCCTGCTGATGTGTCCCCCACACCCCATAGCCGATCCCTTTCTAGGGTGTGCAGAGCCAGGCCCCCACGGGACATGAGCTCGCTGCGCCCGCACCCGCACTGACCTGCGTACCTGCATCCTGCATACAGGGGGCCAAGTGCCCCGGTCCTGTGCCCACACCCCGCGGCAGAGGGGCTCTGCGGCTCAGCGCATCCCACAGGGTGCAGCACCCCGAGCCCCTCACCGCCCAGCCGTGCTCTGAACTTGAACCGCAGAGCCAGGCAGCTCTGGCTGTGCTCCTCCGAACAAAAGGAGGTGGGGCCAGCGCAGAAAACCTAATTTCCCTCCTCGCCAGATAAGCTAAACAGACCCGAACAATTCGCTGGCAAAGATCAAAGCCCACCATCCCGCAGCGGAGCTGGGTCCCGGCCACACAGCACCCGCCTGCCCAGGCACTCGGCTCACGCCATACTCATGCATCCCCACAGCCCCTTGCCAAGGCCACACCACAACGTGGCTGCTGCCCTCTTCTCACCTGGTACAAAGTGCAGCATGGCCGTTGCATGGCACAGAGACCTACTGTCCCCGAGCCGTGACAGCCCAGTGAGCCCTGCAGAATCTCTACTTTGCCCCAGCACAGCCCCACAGCTCACCATGCCACAGTGTCTCCAGGCGCCCTGGCCCACGCTGGCCCTGCTGCCCTGGTTCGGCTCTGCTCCCACCTGCCCTCGGGGACCCGGCTGTGGAGGTGGCCCTGTGACCGCCATCCCTTCTGCCCCACCAGTGCAGTGCCGGTCCCACTGCCAGGCATCGTACTGCTGGATGCGGGCAGCCACCAGCCCCGGCCACACAGCCAGCTTGGTGCACTCGGGGGCTTCTGGCTCAGAGAGCTAAGAGCTGCTGTCCCCACGCTGGGATCCCCAGAGCCAAATTCTGGGGAGCGGGAGCTGTGTGGCCACACGAGCGTGGCATCTGCTCCCACGGGGAGTGGCAGCAGATCCGGCCCCACAGCTTATCTGGGTCCACAGGGCAGGACTGAGGCTGCACACAGCAGCTGACAGGTGCCAAGGCGAGGAGGGACAGTGGCCACATCCTAGCCAGAAGTGCCAGCCTCACCGCCATGGGGCCCTGGGGCGTGGAGCTTTGCTTTGCTCAGGTACCAGCCCATACGTGGCACAGCTGCAGGGCTGCCAGCTGAGCTGCCACGCCTGGTGCAGGGCACTGCCCACGCTGCAATGTGGCACCGCTGGCACAGCACAGCACTGCTGGGAGCTGAGCCTGTTCTCAAGGCTTCCAGGGGCTTTGCACCCCCATTGCATGAGGCCAACCAGGAGATGCCCTCCTGCTCTGGTGTGCCCCCACCCTTCCAGATACACGAGGCGCAGAGTGCTGCGGGTACTCACCAGGATGTCAGCGCCCTCCCTACGGCCTGGCCCTGGATCCAGCCCTGTCCCAAGGAGTGCAGCGGTGCTGGCGGGGCGCAGGATGGGCAGGCTGGCTGAGCGTGCATCCCGTGCCGCCTGCTCCACCTTCAGCTCGTCCCCAGGCTTGGCTACGGGAGCACAGAGCTGTCAGAGCCCCCAGCCCCGTGGTGCCTGTTTTGGCCTTATATTTGCCCCCCTCCACACCTTTCACCCGCAGGTAGTGTCCCCCGAAGCGGTACGCCTCAAACTGGAGGGAGAGTGGTGTGTTGGACTGGTCCAGGTAGATGTCCACCTTGCTGTGCTCAATTGCCCTCCTCTCAAAGACCGGCAGCAGCACGTCCCTGTGGGATACCATCCCTATGGGTCCTGTGGGGTCTGTGTGCCCATCAGGGCTGTGCCTGGCACAGGCAGCTCACCCCAGGGACTTCTTCTTCATGGCCGGCACGATCTCTGCCTCGATATCAACATTCAGGTCGAATTTGAGGGTGAAGCACTCCTTGCTGGGGTCCTGCAGGAGACACAAAGCTCACAAAGCGCTCCCACCCATCTTGGATATGGCCACAGCATAACCCCACAGCAGAGCCCCACAGAGGGGATGGTGTCTTACATCCGTGTGCCTGCGCCGAGCCTTCTTCTTGGGCAGCTTCAGTGCCGAGCTTCTCCTGTCCCTGCAGGCATGGGCAGAGTGAGCCAGGTGTCCTGCAGGGTCTGCTGGCAACACGGACACCCACTCTGTCCCACCAACTGCAGAAAGGGCTGGGACGTGCACTCACCCCCTCCCGTCCGCTGGTCCCTCGTCGTCATCCTCCATGTCGGAGGCAGGGCTGGTGCGTGGCGGGCACGAGCGAGTGGACACGTTGCGAGCCAGGATGGAGCCTGTCAATGAGCATTGGGGCCGGGCTGTGCTGAACCCACTGGCCCTGCTGTGTCCCACCAAGGGCCCAGGGTGCAGCCAGCCTGGCTTACCTGGTGGGGACAGGTCGAAGCGGATGTGCCCATCGAAGTGCATGGTGTCGTGCAGGTGCCCGTCGCAGGCCTCACACAGGCTGAGCGGGCTGCTGCGGTTCAGCTGCTGGCACTCGGCATGGTGGCATACCTGTGGGGTGCAGCTGTGGGCTGGGACAGAGCAGCACCGAGACCCCCTCACCCCCATGGGCTGTGCTGAGCCCCCTCCCCATCACCACTGCACTGCACAGAGACCCTGAGAGCCTTGGGACTGCAGCAGAAGGGCTGCACACAGCTGGGCATGGAGGGAGAAAGGGCACTGGAGGCACTGGGGGCACCTGGCCCCCACGCACCCATTCATGATGTCCCATGCTGGGCTGAGGGTGCACCAGGACCTGCTGTGCTTTCAGGGGTCTGCAGGGCCACTCCAGAGCCCTTTTGTGTTTGCAAGATCAGTGTCCCCACGGCAGGACGGAGGAAGCAAGTGTCTGCAGCAAAACAATGCTCGCAAGCCGATGCATTTCCTCCGATTGTGCGCCCAGCCTCAGCCTCGGCCGGGCATTCATAGGCATTTATTTTTAAACCCCTGGCCAGCCCCAGTGCGGTGCACAGCCCGTGACCCCCTGCTGGGGGCTGCGCCAGGGGTTGGGGTGCTGCTGGGGGCTGTCAGCCCACACCCGAGGTACGTCCCCATCTGGCAGTGCCCCACAGCCACCCCACGAGCAGAAAGGATGCGGTGCGGCATCCCGGGAGTGCGGCCCCACTGTGCGGCAGAGGAAGCGCCGGTGCACCCCGAGCCGCCCCCGCTTCCTGCCCTCCTTCCTCCCGGCGCTGCTGAGGTCAATGCTGACGCGGCCCGCCGCCCGCGCTCCCCGATGGGGCCACTTGCCCCCAGCACCACACTGCTTTCACTGCGCCTCGGCTGCCCCCACCGCAGGGATGCCAAGGGAAACCCAAACCCATAGGCATAGCCCAGGGCTGCAGGGTCGAAGCACCGCAGCCGTACTGCTCACCAACCTGCCCGCCTGCTTGTCCCCATCCAACCGTCCAACACTGGCGATGGCTCCCGGCCGCTTGCTCCCGGTGGTGCTGGCACGAGGCCGCAGCCTGGTGCCACGTGTGTCCTGCACTGTGTTTACCCAGCAGCTCCACCCGTGCAAACACGGCACGCCATGCCTGCGCCCGCGCTGCACACCTGCCTGCCCGCCTCGCCTCCCCTGATCCCCGCTCTGCCCACACCGCGCTCCCTCCCCAGGCAGGTGCCCGCATCACTGCCTGCACTGCAGGGTCTGAGGCGCTGGGGGGCTGAGGAAACAGCCAGGCTCGGGAAGGAGCAGGAGAGCAGAGCGTTCCTGAAACCCGCACTGTTTGAAAGGCCACCGCTTCGTTATTTCCTCCCTGATGCTCTCAAAAGGCAGCGGGCGCCTCATTCCAAAAAACAGAGCTCATATGCTCACCATAAAAGCCTGCGGTGGTGCTGTCAGGCCTCCAGGGCCCAACTACCATCGCTCTTGTTGCTGGAGCAATCGCCCTGCGCTTCCCTTCCCACCGAGGCCGGGAGCATCGCACCGCACGGCTGAGCACTGCACGCCCTCCCCACCAGCACGGCCTTGGCGCACTGAGCAGGAACCCAGCACTCACCAGGAGCAGAGCAGCAGCACGGCACCGGCAGCGAGGACAGCCAGGAGCGAGCCAGCAGGTCGAGCAGCCAGAGATAAGGGGCCCTAAATCCACTCCGGCTTTACATTAGCGATCAACAAGATTAGGAGAGGTGGCATGGGGCGCTTCCAGCCGCGGGCTCTGCTTAATTCCAGAGCCCTGCACTTCCCAGCCTGATCACGGCGCTCCCGTCCCTCCACATGCCTCAATGGACGTGGGTATGAACGCAGCTGCTCCTGGAGGGGCCCTGTGTAGCTCTGCTGCCAAGCCCCGGTGCGCAGCAGAGCTGCAGCAGAGGTTCCCTCCCTCCTGGGCACAGCCGTGCTGCCTGTGCTGGCTTGCCGAGCGATGCTCCCACCGGGAACAGGACAGACGGGCTCAATGAGATTAGCCTGAATTACGGCAGGTGGGGAAACAGGGAAGCTGCTGCCACGCAGTTAAATCCCAGCCACGCACGAGCCTGCAGGCACACACGGGCAGCAGGACCGCGATGCTGCCGAGGGATGCGTGCCACACGCAGCTCCCACCATGTGGGAAGTGGCTGCAGCCTTTCCCTGCTACCTAGCCGCATCCTACCGGCACAGGGCTTTCTGCCCCATGGCTGCCTGCCAGCCAGCTGCACCAACCGGTTCCTCCAGCACCAGAGGCACTGGGAGCCAGGGCGAGCCCATGGGAGCCTCCACCTGCCCAGATCTGCACCAAGACAGCATGCCTGCTGCCTTCCTGATGGCACAGCCCGAGCTGCCAGCACTGCCGGCACCCCATGACCTACCTTGGCTGCCCTCCTCTTGTCGGTACAGTCGGGATTCTGGCAACGCAGCCCCTGCTCCTCTGCTGGGCACTGCTCATCTGCAGGAGAGAGCTGGGGTTAGCGCTGGGTGCACACATGGGGCCCTGCAACCCCACGCAAAACCCTGCCCCACTGCTCTTGCCCCATGGCCCCTGCAGGAAGACAGGTCCCTGACAGTGAGCGACCAGCTTTTGGACAGAAAGCAGAGAGCAGAAGCTGCCAACCTCGTGCCCCAGTGAGCGGCGGCAGCACCCGGCGATGCACCAAACCTCATGTCCCCATGCCCAGAACCCAGCGCTGTGGCTCCAGCTTCTCCAGCAGAAAAGAGCAGCATGCACCTGCAGCACTGGGACCAGCTGCCTCCTGCTCCCTGTCACAAAGTGCCAGGGCCACTCTGGGCACATGCTGCCCACAGAAGGGGTCCCACAGCTGCCCCAGACACAGGGCTGAGCAAGGCCAGGACTGCCCATGGCTGGGAGGGGGGCTGGGAGCTGCCCCTGGATGGGAATGGCAGCCCTGAGAGCTGCTAGTGATGATGCACAGAGCGCTCCCCAAACTCCCATTGCTGCAAACACAGGAACAGGTCCAAAGCCCCAAACCTGTCGTAATATGGAAATTTATTTCCCGACAGGTAGCAGAGCTGGGATGGCCACAGCAGAGAGCAGGGCCTGGGGGCATCATCCTGCACCCGCTGCCAGGAGAGGCACGGGCCGAGGGCAGTGCCAGGAGTGCTAAATCTGCTCCTCGCCAGTCCCCAAAGGGGCTTACGGTCTGCTTTAAGCTCTAACAGTTAAATCGGCCTTGAGGACAAATCCTATTTTGAAAGCTTTTGTTATGTGTCGTGCCTAATAGTTTAAAAATAACAGACTCCAGGCAGCTCACGGCACACCGGCGGGCACCAGGGCTGAAGTGAGAGGTCTCCTGTGGGGCAGTGTGGGGGCTGTGCTCACACTGACCCAGGGCACCTCCGTGAGGACCCCCCTGGGCAACCCTGGGTGCAGTGCCCCTGGGAGAGAGCCAGGAGTGCGGCTGCCAGGGGGCTCCGCTGCCCACACGCCGGCCCCACGCCGCAGCAGCACAATGGGCACTCTGTCCCCACCGCCACCCCACAGCGCCCGCCAGGCTGCTTGGCCCCTCCACCACCATCATTTCACTTGACCTATTATGAATAATAACAGAAACAAATCAGAAATTCTTTCAGGCTGGCGAAGGGAAGTTTTCCCAACTCACCAAAACCACGAGGACGGTGACAGCAGCCCCCTGCCCCGCCGCCCCACACCAGGTCACGCTGCAAACTGCCATGGCCCTTCCCAAACACCACCACCGGCAGCAGGGGCTCACACACACACACCGGGACCTCACAACCTGCGTGCCAGCTGCGGTGCACCGGGCAGGCAACTTTCTGGGTGCTCCCCAGCTGCATCGCGGCATCCCTGCTCTCAGCCCTGCCGCAGCCTCCCTGCGCACAGCAGTCCCTCTGTCTCTGTGCAGGGTTTTCGCCACGCCACCGCCCTCCAGCCCCATGACGTACCCGCCAGCTGCTCGCTGATGTCCAGGCTGGAGCTCCAGGAGAAGCGCTCCACTGCCCCGTACTCCATGCCCGCCAGCGCGGGGGGCAGAGCCCCCAGCTCGTACGCACCCCGCTTCTTCCAGTACAGGAACATCGTGTGGCCGCAACGCGGCACCTGCCCTCACCATGGGGCACCCAGGGGGCTGCCTCGGCCGAGCCGTGCCCACACCGGTGGGACTGGCCAGGGGGCCCGGCTCCGGCTTTAAGAGCAGGTCCCGCTCTCCGGACAAGCGCAGCATTCATCCCGTGAGCCGGGAGCGCTGGGGTGGCGGAGGGTGCTGCTGGAGGCTGCCCAATGCCCCGCGCACAGGGCGCACAAAGGGCCTTTCTTCAGCCTCCTACAGACATTGCACAAATTTCACTTTCCGCCGTCTATGAAAGAAATTTCGGCCGGGGAGACAAGACACACTTGTGATTGAAATAATCGGCATGAAGAGCGCGGCTGTTCGGCAGCTCCGGCAGCACAGGGCCGGGGGGGGAACGCTGCGGGCATTGGGGGCTGAGCACTGCGGGGAGGACGGGCACAGCAGTGAGGACAGCTCTGGGGGTGGGCACATTGCCCCACGGCACCAGCACAGCTCTGGCTCCGGACCCCCGCCCTGCGCTCAGCACTCGGCTGCAATTCATGCATTGAGATCGTGGCACAACTTTACAGCGGTTCTCCCTGGCTCACACAACGGAATTTTCTCCCTACATCTGAGCTCCTAGCAGGATCCCGGGTTTGGAACCTGCACACCATTCCGCCCCACGCCCCGCACAGGAGTGCTGAGCTGGGACAGCCAGCAGCCGCGTGCCCCGGCTCCCCGGCGAGGCACAGAAGGTGACAGGCAGGAGCCGGGCCGAGGCTGAGCCCCCCCACCTGACTGCCTTTGGGACGGCCCTGCATGAGCGGCACAGCCCTCCAGGCCTCACTACCACAGCTTTGTCTACGTGAAGCCACGTTTTCCATACGTCAACTCGGCCACCAAAGAGAGCCGAACCCCCATCAGTGAAACCATCTACACTTGCTGGCAGCGGCCACTGCTGACGGGTCAGCAGCACCCCGGGATGTGCTCAGCCAGGATCGGGTGTTTGCGGTGCTGAGCCCAACAGGAGGGGACCTCATCAGCACCGAAACGGCTCTGCCCGCCCGTCCCGAGGAACGAGCTCCAGCCTCATCGTCTCCTCGCTGGCAAGCTCTCCCTAGCGCCGCTGGCGGTGACGCAGCACACGTGCGTGGAGACCGAGAGTTTCATTTTTCTCCTTTCCAACACCAGGCAGCTGAGATCCGCACAGGGCAAAACTCCCTAAAACGGGACAACCTGCGCAGAAAAATCAGGCGAAGGCAATTCCTGCCCAGCTTCATCAGCACCGCACGCTGCGCGCAGCTCCGCCGCCTCCGGGACCCTTCGCCAGCAGCGGACGAAAGCAAAAGCCGCTCCCGAGCTTTCGCGGCCGGGAAAGCAGACGGCGGCCACGGCGCGGCAGGCGGGCACAGCTCCTCCGGCCCCAACCCCCGCTCACGTGCTGGGAGGCGGAGGAGGGGCAGCGCGTGCCCGAACCCGGCAGACGATCGGCGAACCGCAGGGCGGGACCCGGGGGGGGGGCCGGGCCCTTCCGGCGGGCGCCCCGCAGCCGCCCCTCCCTCCGCACCCCCGGAACGGCGGCGGCCGGACGTCGCCCCGCACCCCCCGCGCACTCACGCGTCCCCAGGCGAAGGATGAGGCGGCTGCGGGGACGGACCCGCGCCCGGGCGCAGCGCTCATCGCTCCGCGCGGTGCCGATGCCGCGCTCCGCACCGCCGCCCCCCGCCCGCAGCAGCCCCGCAGCGGGAGGCTCCGCCCCGGCCCGGCCCCGTCTCACCTTTCCCGGTGCTCCCCCCCCCCCCCGCCGCACAGATGGCCCCGTATTTATTTTCGTCGCCGCGCCGGCCGAGCCTTCCCCGCGCCGCCGGAGCCAGCCATATGGGCGGAATTAGAGCCGGATTAAGTTAAAGCTTTAACTCTTCGCCGCGCGGAGCTCCGTTCGGACCTCCCGGTGCCGTCGGTGCGTTGGTTTCCATTTTTTCGTTGAGGTTCAGACTGCTGCCCCACGCAGTACGCAGGTAACGCATCCCTCTCCACATCCGTGCCTCTGCCCGCCCCACAGAGCTTTCTACATAACGATACGTGCACTTACACTCGAGGCTTTCAAGCCCAAGCAATCCATCCCCCCCATCCTCTCCAAAGCATCGCTGCTTCCGCTGCACCACCACCCCACCTGCAGTCTGAGCGAAGAGGCATCGAGCTCACCAAAAACTCAGCAGAAAACGGGCAAGAGGAAAATCAGCACACGCTCCTAAAACCACAAGTAAAGCAGTATTAAGGTGCTGTGAAGTTAGGCTCACACTCCTCTGAGCTCCAGCTTCAGCCAGGAGGAGCACAACTGCTTTAAGAGCTTCTGCCAATCACCCATGTGTTGTATGAGCCACATCCACATCACTGCAGGCTTTGGAAGGAATTCAAACCATTTTTCAACTCATTTATTACAAAACACCAAAATACATACTGAAAATATAAAATACTGTTAAAAATGATGTTTTCGTATCTACAGATCAGCTGCTTGGGGTCTCCTGCAGCTGTGGACCCCAGGCCTCCTGCTGTACAAAACAAATCCTGCAGTCCAAAGGCTTCAAGTGTAATCACACTGGAACGTGCATTCCCTCTTCTTGAAATGCTTCTTCTTTCTCAGCTTCCCAGACCCCAAAATGCTGTAGTTATACTCAGAGGTGACATAAGGGATCTCTCCCTCAATTCCTTCCTGAAAAAAACAAAACCAGAAAGTAGAACAGCTTCACAGATCTGTGCCTTCAATTGAAGGCACCTCCCTTTAAAAACAGAGCAGCGTTTAGTGATGAATACAAGAAAGCTACCAGTGAACCAACCCTACGTTGGTATCTGAAAACTATGAACGTTCTCTTGGTTGCTTCTGTGCATTAAGGGCTATTTCCCAGGGGTAACGACCATGTTAGTGTCCAGACAGCTCTGGACACGTGCAAGCCTCAAAGAAAGCAAGAATTTGCCAGCAAGATTAACCCTACAACAGTTTTTCCACCTTCCTCCCAGGCAGCTCCTACCTGGCTCACAAAAATGCAGTTTGGAATAGCAATGTTTCCCAGCAGAAGGCAGTTCACTACTCTCAGGTTCTCAGGAGGCACCGGGGTCAGGATGTGATAGAGATGCTTCTCCATGTCGACCCCTCGGACAATTCCTGAGAAACACAGCGTTCAGCCAAACCTGGCGCACACATTTTGTGCAACACACTTAGAATCTGCTTTGGGAAACGTGAACCTAATCCTACTTTTCCAGTTGTTTTTGGAAAGATAATTCCACCATTCTGCAACACGGCTCAAAATGCAACACGTGAGAACACGGCTTAAGGTTTCCCAGCGTCACTCACCGAAGCCAAGGCAATCACAGATGGGTGTCTGTGTCAGCAGCACTGGCCCGGCAGTTTGGCATCTGATTTCATCTGGTATCCTGCAGAGCCCAACCCAGCTGGCGTTCACTGCATACATGATGTTGGTAGGAGCAACATCGGTGTGAATAACCCTGAGTGCAACAGCATTAAAAGGTACCTGAGGGGGAGGAAAGGAACGAAAAGAAACACGCTGTGTCAACATCTCAGCATCAGCTTTGTGTGCTAAACTTACCCTGAACTTGAACCCAACTAGAAAGCCACCAACCGCATCTACGAATAGACCTTACAGCAAGCACAACAGTTTCAGCACTAACAACAGAACGCACAGATGTGCCACAGTGACACTGTAACAAAAACCTCGTCTTTTAATTAAAAACACCCATCAGCTGATTACCTTGGATTGCAAAGCACTTTTTCCCCCACCTTCCAAAACACGTCCCAGTACAACTTTCAATTCCCAACAGCCAGACCCCCTGCAGCACCTGCCGCCCCTCCAGAAGGCCCTCATACCTGATATGGCACGAGGCTGTGCAGCGGCAGGACGGACGCCACATCTGGGGGCTGCAGCTGCCCCAAGTAACCCAGTATGGACATGTCACGTAAGATGCTGCTGTGCACTCGCCTAGAAAAAAATAAACACAGCAAATGAAGAAGTGCAAGTTCTAATTGGAAGCTGCACTTGGTGAAAAGTCTGCACAGTTAGCAGTAATTACTGGGAGTGGGGTAGGAAGGAACAAATAATCCCCGTTCTGGTCCTCACACCTTCCCCTACTCAAAAATAAAATGAAAAAGCTCTCAACAATCTCCTCCAAAAACTTCAATCAAAGCCCAAAGCAAATCTGTCAAGAGAATGAACAGCCTCACGGGCTCTGACCAAATTAATGGGCTCTGAAGGCCAACATGACAGTTCTCTCCTATGCATTTACTATCAAGACGAAGCATACTTTTGCCGAGCCAATGAAGAACCACACAACGCTCATTTTCCACTTACGCTTCACCTGCAGCCCCAGCTCGAGGGAATTCAGGGTGGACGTAGAGCAGCTTATACTCAGGAGCTGACGCATCTTCCTCCCCCTCAGAGCACTTCCAGCTCTCTGCTGCACTCAGGTCCATCCGCTCGCCCTTGGCTCGCTGCTTGCCCTTGGTGTACAGCCCGGGCGCCAGATGGACGCTCTCAGGGGTGAGCGGAGCCATGGCCTTCCAGTCGTACACATCCATCTGCACCACGTGAGTGGGCGACAGCAGCCGGATCATATCAGTCAGAAGCAGCAACCCCTCACCTTCAGGGAGCACAGAATACACAGCTACTGTCACCAGGCTAAGGAGTCCGAACGCTGTTACAGGAGGCCGACAACAGCTTGTGTGGAGTGAGCTCTATTTCCACGCTCCCGACTCCGCAGAGCGAGGCGATACACCGCCAGGTTGTTAGGCTCCCTCTGCACCACCCCTCCAGAATGGGTTCATTGTTTACCTTTCACCCAGCCCATAGTGTTGATGACTAAAGGTACTTCTTTCCTGTAGGAGCTGAACACGTACTTCACCACATCGATGTATCTCTCTGTGTCCTGCTCACAGCTGGTCTGCCCGTAGTACACCATCTTATGCGGCGTCCGTTGGTGCGTGAATGGTGGGCCTGGAAATGAAAGCACATCTCTGGCACTCCCACTTATCTTCTCTCTGCTAACACACAGAGGAAAGACCAAGGGAGGAGAACAGCTCCACATTACTTATCAAGATTTGCACGTGGAGCTCAGATGCCCTCAGCAAGAGAACTTTTATGGCCTTTTACTCTCTATATGCACTTTTGCCACATGTAGCGACTTCCCCAAAGTACACACAGCCCATACCCAAAAAGCACCTTCTGGGAACGTCAGATGTTTCTGCCAACTACAGGAAGCACAAGGCACGTACCGAGAAACGGCTCCGTTACGTTACTTAAAGACACGCATCCGGGCGGCGTGAATTCAGTCTGCCCTATGTCACATTCCATGTACTCAACAGAGGGGAGGCTGCAGTGAAAGAAGCCCATGCATTAGCACCCACTGAGAAGAAAAAGAACACCGCTTTGAACACAGCAGAAGCAAAATATGATTTTGTTCCGGGTCATCAGAATTAAACTGGACACAGTCAAACCACGCTTGTGCAACGTTCCCTCAAGTAAGGGAAGGGCAGAGACAAGGACTCAAAGGGCACTCCTACACCACACTGGAGATCTTGTGCTTATACTGTAATAGCTCTGCACCCATCCAGTCCTCAGGAAAACAGTCAGAATGATAAACCAGAGGCGGTACCAATCAGTTTGTCCTCTCTCCATGTTAACTGGGCACTCTAAGAGCACTGACTGCACGTTTATAAACCCTAACCTCTACGCTAAGCAGGCAGCGGCCAAGACGAAAGGCACACCTTGCTCTGCCATGAATCTGCAGCGACAAAACCATTTTTGGCAGCAAGCTTTCCCTCTCCCACAGCTCGCACGCAGCATTTAAGGAGCTGCAGAGCGCGGGAGCACTCACTGGTTCAGCAGCAGGTTGATCAGGTATCTGTTAAATGTGGACTTGCCGATGCTCTTAGGGCCGCACACCATGATGACCGGAACGCCTTCATCTTCCACTAGCACAGAACACAACAAACGCTCTGCAGGGCCGCCACGGCGTGCTCGGCTCGCAGTAGCATGCAGCCGGCCGGCACTCACCGCAGCAGACCCGCACCAGCTCCTGCAGGGCACACAGCGTGCTGTCGGACAGCAGCAGCCCCCGCTCGGGGCTGCAGGGCACGATGCCCACCGCCGCCAGCACCGCCGCCTCGGCCGTCACGTCGGGCTCGTCCTCGCGCCGCGCAGCGCGGCCGTCGGGGCGGCGCGGGGTCGGGCCGCGGCTCACCTGGGGCTCGAAGAGGCGGCAGAGCGGCGGCAGGCTGAGCAGGAAGCGCGTTACGGCCGTGTCCAGGTGCTCCAGCAGCACCACGGCGCAGTCGGGAGAGAACCGCGCCATCAGCTTCAGCCGCGCCTCTACGGGAAGGGGGGAGGAGAGCGCGAAATGGCGGCGGCGGCCCGCGAAATGGCGGCGGCGGCCCCGCGCCCCCCCGGCGCCCCCAACTCACGGCGGCGGACGCGGTGGGCGCGCAGGGCGCTGCGGGCGGCGGTGCGGAGCTGCCGGGGGTCGGCGTGAGCAGCGCGGGCGGCGGGCAGCGCCTCCAGGGACAGCGCGCAGTGCGTGGGCGGCGACAGCAGCGGCAGCGGCGGCTGGTGAGGAGCCACGGCGAAGCCCAGCACCCGTACGGCGCCATACAGACACGTGAGGCGGCACTTCCCGCTGAACGTCAGCGCCTGCGGAACGGCAGGGACGCGGCTGGGTCAGGCGGAGGCGGCGCGGCGGCGGCGGCGGGGTCGGGTCGGGTCGGCGCACCTGCTGTGGGCCCAGGAGCAGCACGGCCGCACCCTCCGCCGCCTCCGCGGCCGCGAGCCCCGCCCCGCCCGGCGGCACCATGCCGGCCTGCGCGAAGGAGGCGGCGAACTCCCGCCACGCGGCCTCGGCGCGGCCCTCCCCGGCAGCGCCGCGGTTCGGAGCCCGGCGGGGACGGCCGCGCCGCGCCGGCATGGCGGCCTCGCCCGCGCCGCTCTCGCGAGATCCGCGTGCCCCGCCCCGCCCCGCGCCCTCAAGAGGCGCCGCCCGCGCCGCCCCCCCTACCCGCGCCATGCTGCTCCTGGTGCTGTTGTGCGCCCGGCTTTGCGCCGCCGCCCTCAGCGGCCGCGGCGAGTTCCGCCTGGCCGGGCTCTTCCAGATCCACGGGCTACGGCCCGGCCGGCCGCTGGCGCGCGGCTGCTGCGTGTGAGTGAGCGAGGGGCCGTGGGAGTTCCGCCGTTCCCTGCCGCAGCTCGCGCCGTTTGTGCTCGCAGGGCCGCCGCCTTCAAGAGTCACGGCTACCACCTCGCGCAAACCATGCGCTTCGCCGTGGAGGAGATCAACAACTCCAGCGCGCTGCTCCCCAACGTCACGCTGCGCTGTGAGATCCACGACACCTGCACGGAGGCCGCCAACCTGCACGCCACGCTGCGCGCCCTCGGCCGGGAGGGGCGGCACCGCATCGAGCTGCCGAGCGCCCTGCAGCGCTACGAGCCGCGGGCCGTGGCCGTCATCGGGCCCGACAGCACCCAGCTGGCGCTCACCGCGGCCGCTATCCTGGGCGTCTTCCTCGTGCCGGAGGTCGGTCCCCCTCCCCGGCGGCAATACGCGCTCTAGCGTTGCTTGGGTTCTCGCTCCAAAACGTCCCTGCCTCCCCGGCCCCGCTTTCGAGCTCTGCTCCCTGTGCCGCTGCTCCCTCCTGCCCGGGCAGCAGATTTCCCCCCCCCCCCTTCATGTGCCACCCCCTCTCCTGGCCTCCTTTGCAGATCAGCTACGAAGCCTCTCTGGAGACGCTGAGCCTGAAGCGTTTCTACCCGTCCTTCCTGCGCACCATCCCCAGCGATGGGCAGCAAGTGAAGGCCATTGCACTGCTGCTGCAGCACTTCGGCTGGACTTGGGTTGCTCTGGTGGGCAGCGACAACAGCTATGGTAGGGATGGGCTAAATGCCCTCTACGAGCTGCTGGCCGCAAGTGATGTGTGCATTGCCTACCGAGGTATCATCCCCGCGACCAAGGATGCCAGCAGCCCAGAGTTCCACAAGCTGATCCAAATCCTTGTGGACATCAGGGTCAATGTCACTGTTGTCTTCTCCAACAGGAGGAATGCCCAGCCCTTCTTTGAGGCGGTGGTGCTGAAGAACATCACGGGAATGGTGTGGGTGGGCTCTGAAGACTGGTCTTTAGCCCAAACCATCTGGCAGGTGCCCAGCATCCGAAATATCGGCTCTGTGATTGGCATTTCAGTTGAGCAGGCAGAGCCCACAATGCTGAAACGCCTTCAATCTTGGGAAAATGCAAAGGAACGTGGGGTGTCTGGAAGTGCTGGCAGCACAGGGCTGGTGGGGGAAAATGGACTGAGCAGCAGTGAAGGAGTCCACCTGAACTGCACCCAGCACTGCCCAGGAGGCCACTTGCTTGCTGATACCCCAGATGTATACGACATTCAGGCCTCTTACAACGTGTACTCTGCTGTGTATGCGGTGGCCCACGGCCTCCATGACCTGCTGGGTTGTACCTCAGGGGTGTGCAGCAAAGGCAGAGTCTATCCCTGGCAGGTAAGAGCAAGGTGAGGAAGGCCCCTCTTCCCTCTCCAGAGGGAGATCTTCCCCTTGTGCTCAGGGGTTTTCCATCTCTGAAAGTCCTTTCTGCGCCAAAGAGAACAGGGCTGCACTGCTCAGAGTTCGAAGTCTCTTGGCCTCTGGCTGTGGGATCGGCACAAAAAAGGCTCTCCCTTAACTGGTGCCAACAGCCTTGTGAGACTGCCTTCAGCCTTCCCTCTGGTCACTGCACAGCAGCTTCCCTGTAGGCTCCAGCTGTCACAGGTAGAGCAGCCTGGATCCAAATCCACACTCTCAGCTCACTCTCATTCTTCTGTCTGTAGTCCCTTGCAGAAACCTGGAAGAGATCTGCTGCTGCTGGACATGTACTACTTACAACAGAATCCCAGAGGAAGGCAGAGAGGGGGCTGCTAGCACCTTCCTCTCTGAAAACAAGACTTCCCCTGTCATCAGGAAGGGCTCTACTCTTACTTTTCTTTCTTACAGCTCCTACAAAAGATCAAGCAAGTGAACTTCAGCCTGCACAAGAGCCAGATCTCATTTGATGCCAACGGGAACATTCGTAAAGGTTATAACATCATTGCCTGGAATTGGAGAGGCCAGAGTTGGGCTTTTGATGTGGTTGGAGCTTTCACTGTGAACCCTGACCAGCTGCACATTGACCAGAGCAAAATCTTGTGGCACACAAAAGATCACCAGGTACAGTTCTGCATTCAAATCTTATTTATTGTCAAGCCAACTACCTCCCCAGCATTACTTCTTGAGTATTTCCCCAGAGCAGAAGAAATGTGAAGACAGATGGGAGGGGGGGGGTACAGATGGTTACCTACATTCTGAGTAATAATATTCATTTGTCAAAAAAAAAAAAACAAAAAAAAAAAAAACAAGCAGGGAACGTGAACCTAAGGGCTCCCACCAACTATTTCTACCTTCAAACAACCTGATTTTCCCAATATATCTAGAAAATGGACAGCATGATGAGCTCCCAGCTGCCCAGGATCCATCCTGATGGCCAGCTGCCAGCTGTCCAGTGCTCACTAACCTTGGGCTGCAGTCTGTCCTCTCAGTCTGTGCTGCCCCACAGGCCCTGCCTCTGCCTGATGGCTGCCGTGCTCCCAGCAGGCTCCTGTCTCACTCTGCTCCTGGCCCTGTGCAGCTGGGGAGATGAGGCTGCAGCAGAATCGCCACAGGTGCTGCTTCAGCTGTGTGGCCTGTCCAGCAGGGACCTTCCTGAACAGAACAGGTCAGTAAACCCTTGGCAGCCTCTCCCTCCCCTTATTGCTCAGTTTCTCTATCTGCACCCTTCCTTTCCATCTCAGCAGTTCCTTGCTTTTGCCTTACCCTCTCCCTGCACCTAGCCTTTACAGTTACCACTTCTTTTTCTTTTAACTTCCTGTGAGCAGTAAAAAATCTCAGAGCTCACCTAAATGCGGTCAGTCTGGCTTCCCTGTTTGCTTACTTGTGGGTATGCAAAGCTCATGCCCTGCACTCAGCCCTGAGGGATACTGTCAGCAGATGTTTCCGTGCAGTCAAATTACCAGCAGAGATGCTGCCAGCAGAGCCCCCTTCTCCTGTGGCCAGGGGACACGGGATGTCTGGTTTGACAGCTGCTTCCTGAGCCACATCCTCAGGGAGGGAAATTCAGCCTAGTGTTGCCTATGTGTTGTAGATGGTACTCAGTGCTTCCGCACTGTGTGGTCACGGGCAGCTCCACAGTCCTCGGGGCATATGGAAATGTCCCTTTCCTGGGGCTGATGGCAGGGTTTCCCTGGCACAGACTCACTAGCCAGCATGACAAATGCCTTGCCAACATGTGCTCATGGTCCCTGACAGCCTTGGTGTGTCTGCACTGAGGGTGGCAGAAATGCCAGCTCTGGGTAATGGTGGGAGTGAGGAGCCCCAAAAGACACCATTCCTCTGACCTGCAAGAGAACTGCCAGTGCAAACTACTGCTGTGTACACAAACCCCTTTCTGTCTCCCAGCCCATGCTCCCTGCAGCCCTGTCCCACTCACCTGAGTCCCTCTGGGCCAGCAGGCACGATGCAGCCCATGGCTCTCCTTTATGTGCTGCTCCAGCCACAGGATGCTACGCCCTATAATTCCCAAGTCACTGTGTCTCTCCCAAGCAATGGAGTTTTGGAAAAAGAACACTCCTTGCTGCTGAAGGCTTAGAAGCACTGAGGGAAAGGCAAACAATCAGAGGCAGCTCTATGGAGGTGCTTGAGGATGCAGAAGGGTGAGGTCAGGGTGCCCCACCAGGACAAATCACTTACCTGGGCTGTGGCTCCCACCTGGGTGCTGTTCTCTCCAGCCCCGTACGCCTGCCAGGCCTGCGGGAGAGATGAGTGGGCACCCGCAGGGAGCGAGAGCTGCTTCAACAGGACCGTGGAGTTCCTGTCCTGGGCTGATCCCCTCTGCTGGGTGCTGCTGATCCCCACTGTGCTCCTGCTGCTGCTCACAGCGGGGCTGGCTGCCCTCTTTGCCCGGAATGTCTCCACACCAGTGGTCAGGTCAGCGGGCGGCAAGATGTGCTTCCTCATGCTGGGTGCTCTGGCCTGCGCCTGCAGCAGCATCTTCTTCAACTTCGGGGAGCCCACCCGGCTCTCGTGCCTGGTGCACTTCCCGCTCTTCACCATCAGCTTCACCGTGTTCCTCTCGTGTGTGGCAACGCGCTGCTTCCAGATCGTTTGCATCTTCAAACTGAGCGCGCGGTGGCGGGCACTGCACGAGGCCTGGCAGCGGCGCGGCGGCCCGGCGCTGTTCATCGCGGCCAGCACAACGGCGCAGGCGGCACTGTGCGCGGCGGCGGCGGCGGCTTCGGGCCCCGCGGTGCCGCGGAGGCGTTACAGCGTGGCGGCCGAGCGCGTGGTGCTGGAGTGCGGCGCGGGCAGCGCGCCCGGAGAGACGGCCGCCATGCTGTACAACGTGCTGCTCAGCCTGGGCTGCTTCGCGCTCAGCTACGCGGGGAAGGACCTCCCCGCGGACTACAACGAGGCCAAGTGCCTGACCTGCAGCCTGCTGCTGCACCTCGTCTGCTCCGCCGCCGTCCTTTGCACGCGGAGCGCCTTCCGCGGGCGGAGCGCGGCGGTGACGGCGGCGCTGGGCGCGCTGGGCACGCTGGCAGCGCTGCTGGGCGGTTACTTCCTGCCGAAGGGCTTCGTGGTGCTGCTGCGGCCGCACCTCAATACGGCCGAGCACTTCCAGCGGGCGATCCGCAGCTACACGCGGCGCCGCGACGACTGACGGCCGGAGCACGGCCGCCGCGGGCAAGGCGCCATAGCACGGCACGTCTCTTCCGGGAGCGGTAGCGGCATTTTTTTTTTTGTAGCGTCATATCCGGCGCGCCGCTCCATACTCATTACATTCGGCTTCTACTTCCTCGTTCGTCACATTCTGTGCGCCATTTCCGCTTTCGTCACATCCGGCGTTATACTGTCCTGCTATTTACATCGATACTCTACTTCCTGGTTCGTCACATCCTGTTCGTCACTTCCGCTTTCGTCACATCCGACGGTATACTGAGCTATTTACATCGGTATTTTACTTCCGTGTTCGTCACATCCTGTTCGTCACTTCCGCTTTCGTCACATCCGACGTTCCACTTCCTTATTTACATCGGTATTCTACTTCCGTGTTCGTCACATCCTG